ATTAACACCCATCTCTGTGAAAGCTGCTCTATTTGCCAAAGTCATCATACAGGAGAGAAACTTTCATTTCTGAAGATGAATTCGGACGAACAAGACGCAAAACTACCCACAGATAGGACCTGTGTCTCTGCTTTGTTGTTGTTGTTGTTTTTTTCCCTTCCAATACTTTCTGCCTGTGAACTGCCTCCTACTTCTCCCTCCAGGTTGAGTCTCCTTCGCTACAACAACAACCTGACCAGGTGTAAAAACTGCATGTTCGGCTTCTCCCAGCAGCTCAAAGCCAAGCTGGACTTCTTCAAGAGCAGCATCCAGTACGACCTGGAAAAATACAGCGATCAGATGCACTACGGCATATGTGAGTGTTCGCTCTTGATTTGTCGAGGCTGAGCGGGAGGACGTTTGTTTTTGATGACTTGTCTGTGTTTGTTCAAAGCCTCCGAGAAGATGCTGAAAGCGTGGCAGGAGAACGAGGAGAGAGCGGCGGCTTTCGCACAGGTAACTCGTGTTTTCAAAAATGAAAGTAAGGCTGTGATGTTTCGCAGTGGAGATCCTCGCTGTGGGAGCTGCTGTGTAATTCCTGGTTTGTCCTGCAGGTGGCGGAGGTGAGCCATCTGGACGACGAGATCATGGCTCTGCATTCTGAGATAGTGGAGCTTCAGAGGAGTCCTTATGCCCGACGCCAAGGAGACAAGATGGAGCAGCTGTGAGTTTATGTCTTCAATAATTACTTATTCAAAAGCATTTTTAAGTACTGCTCAGGCCTATAAGTTCTTTCGTGTTAGTTTAAATAACAATAAGTGTGGATGTTTTTAGTCACTATGGCCAAAATAAGTAATATCGTAGTTTGTCTGTGAAAGGAATGACTGTATCGAACTCGTGTTACCGCCTACATTTTCATTTCTTAATGCTACAGATTTCCTGAATCGTGACAAACGCATCATCCACACCACTGGTCACTTGATTTTCCATTTTGGTTTTCCACTCCTTATCGCTTAATGAGTTAATTTTGAGAGTTTGACATCACAGACCGAACAGTGTGGAGGGTGAGTCGGAGCGATCACATGCAGCAGAGGGGCCCCAGCTGGACTTTAAACCGGCATTATTGCAATTACACACCACTGCAAGGGCCTAAAGCTTAAAGTCTCCTTCCGCTCAAATGTGTGTTGTGGCCAGAGAAAGGAAAAAAAAGTTAGGAACAGAATTAAGATCGCTTAATTTTCTCATAAGTCCTGTATATTATAGACTACAGTGTAGTCTGATAATGAAAATGCTAAATAAATATGATGATTATTTAAAGCAAAAGAAACAGAAGTCTTTTGAACACTTTCTAGACACTAATGTTGTGTTGGTAACAATGAGGACACAGGTTTTACTCACTAAATAAAGTAATTTCTATTGTGTTTCATTAAACTGTTCAGCACTATATCATAAGTAAAAGCTCCACCTTGAACAGATGTTACCTAAACATCAGTACATTGTGCTCATAAAACCTTTCACTTCTCACTTAAGTAGAAAAATGAATGCAGGACTTAATCATTGGCACTTTTTTTGTGTGTGTCTGTGCAACATTAATAGTCGTTCTGCTGCTAACACCAACATCCAGAAAGTCTCTCCTGCTCTGAGCGCTCTGAAAGTGAAACCCAGTCTCTGAATGACTGTTCAGATGAAGCTCTTTAAACCATTTCAGACTGAATTCATGAACGTATCCACAGCGAAACAATGAGCTGGTTAGTGGTTTGTTTTTTTGTTTTTTTCTTCAATCATCAAGTCGTGTTTGTATGATTTAGCTCTCCTCTGTGTGTTGGCTGCTGGCATACATAACATGCCTGATTAGAAAGGGATGAACTACGAGCTCAGCTGTGGAAAGCTGAACTAGACAACCTCCCCCAGGCAGAGAGAGATACTTGACTTTGTTTTGGAAAGTGAAAAATGCATCAAGGACAAATGTCTCATGGCAGTGAGACAAAATGCACAACACAGCGTTCTTCTTCTAAAGTACAGACAGCACAACAGCTAATGATCTTCTGGTATTCCAGGGTTTGGTACCCGACTCTAATAAAATGATTTATCAGAGATCAATTTCAAATGGATTATACAAGGTGTGGCTGTAAGACAATGAGACTGATGCTGTAGTTCAGTTTTATTTTATACGAGTAAATTTAAGCTTTCGGGGATTGTTTAAATTTGCCCACTCATCAGTGTAACTTTGTGGCTCAGGCTGCACGCTGTGATTTAACAAAGAGCAGCACAGTCCGTTCTGCCATAGCTGCATGTTGTACACTTTGCAGCACCCAAAGTTTAAACCATCAGTAGTTTTGATGGTATCTTGTGCTGTGACACTCCACTGTGTTTTAAATTGATTCCACAGTGAATGATGAACTGAAGCTTGATGTTTAAGAAATGTAACTGCAGATGGAATCGCAATATCGGTCAGAAAAATCTCTATTATAATTTCCCCAAATTGTTCAACCGTGTCAGAGTTTATCACTGTTCCTCAGCTGAAGGCGGAACGTTTCCCTGAGTTGAAGGCGTGGACATGGAAGCAGGATTTGTTGCGCTACAAACTTTTATTCAGTCGTTAGGTTTCTGGATTTTCAGTGGAGGCTTAGATATCATTTAAAACATTTATAACCAGTCAATTTTATTTGTGGAAAAACCATATCAGATGTTATTCAGTATATGTTATTGAACATCCATAATTTAGATTTCTCTATGCAGGGGTTAGCGTTGGGCGCCTTAGCTGACCTGCTAATCCTCAAAACTGTAACTCGACACACATCAGGGCTGCTTGTGTTTTCTCTTAAAGGTTTCAGGTGCTGGTGGAGATTATGGAAGCAAAGACGACATGATACCAGTTTTTTCTTATTATTTTAGATATCTAGTGAAGGCATCTGCACTGTAAACTGTGATCACCACAACCACAACTGTTTAGTAAACAGAGAATGATGCAACAGAAATATGCACAGATGCTTCCACCATCACTCTGTAAACACACTTACAGGATGAAATGCACAGTTCAATCTCCCTAATGATGAGTTTTGTTATCCTCTGCATCACTTAATAATACTGTAGTGTGCAAAAAGTTTGAAGGAAGTAACGACATAAAAGCTCTGTGTGAGTTTGGCAAAACTTTGATGGCGTTCACACACATCCCACAGGCCTTTATGAAATGTTTACACAAGTCACTGCTTTCTCTTACTTTTCCTTTGGTAAATCCTGGGAATTCTAGTTGTGTTGTGCACAGGATTGCACTTGTACGTCTTGGTTTTAAAAGGATTTTTGTTCAAAAACAACCCGTCCTCTGTGCCGCTGTAAAGCCATTGACTGGCGTCTTTTCTGTGTGGCAAACAGAAGAGGAAGAGAGGACGTCTGAAGCATTTTAAACACGCAGCATCAGATTGTAATCTACAGATGTTTACATATAAAGCTCTAGTTTAAGAATTTGTACACATTTCAATCCGCCAAATTCATTTTATTGCAGAGAACATAAAGCCATCGACCTCTACAGGCAGCTGAAGATGAAATGCAAAAGTAAGGAACCTTTTAATAAGATTTATTGTCATTTTGAATTTTAAGATGTAAAATTATCGCATCTCAATACTTTCTCAAGTCAAATCTGGTTTATTTTTAAACTGAGCGTGTGTTTGGATTCTCCTCTCTCAGTTCCTGACTCGGATGTGAGCAGCGACAGCTCAGAGATGGTGAAGGCCATCATCCAGACTGTCCAGAACCAAGACAAGGTCCTCAAAGACCTGTTCACCCACCTCAGGTAGGAGTCCTGAAGAGTTTCAGTTGAATGTTTTAATTTACTGTGGGTTTGTTTTACGGTGGCAAAATCCGCTTCCCTGTGTTTTCCTCAAAATGTCTTACTAGTAATTTATTATTTGCTTTCTTGGATGTGAAATGAGCACAATAATTCACTGTTCACTAGTTCATTACAGCACTAACGCCGCTTTGTCCTGGCCTGCCTCATTCCAACAGTAAGATCCTGATCAGCAAACAGAAGATCATTGACTTGTTTCCGCGAATCGAGAAAACCCTGGAGAGCATCAAGGATGCTGACAACACAGTGATGCAGATGCAGATAAAGAGACAGAGAGAGTTCTGGCATTTACTCAAGATCGCATGTGTAAGTAATTGTGCTTCGTTTCTTATCAGCCACATCCGTTTGGTACATTTTTGCTTCGTTTCTTATCAGCCACATCAGTTTGGCACATTTTTCCACTATGAAGCAACTCAATACATATATTTTCTTACAAAAGGCTTCTTTCTTCTTGAATAAAACTTTGCTGTACTGTCTTATGACTCCAACTAGGCCTGAACAATGTACAAAAATTAAAAAAAAGATCTTGTTTTAAACATTCTGACAGATACTGTGATGGGAATAGTCACTGAAAAATAAATGTGGTTTTTGAAGTAGTCTGTACCAAACAAAAAAAAAAACGTTTCCTGAAGTCTAGAGAATATAATTTGCAAGCTGGTGCATCTCTGCAGCAACACAATTCTTCATTTCTAACCGTATATTGAGACATATTTTATCGACAAAGTGCAGCTCCTGCAATCTGAATATTGCACTTGAGCATCATAGTTTTGATACCGGTGTGATTAATTGCTGAGCCCAAGTTGCACAATGATTTTCCATTATCTCCTTTTCTGCGGCTCATTTTCTTAATTAACTGATTAATCATTTTATCTATAGAGTGTCAGACAATACAAAAAGAAAAGAAAACCCTCCATCACAGTCCAAAAGCCCTAAATAATGTGTTCACTCTCAAATTATCACATTTTTAGAACATTTTCTGCTCGACTATCTCTGAGTTGCCTGAAATTTTTTCTTTCATTAAGTACTATGGATATTTAGAAAGATATTTGTAATGTTCTAGCTTGATATGTCAAATACTTTACTTTTTTAAAATTCATTTTTTAATCTACTCGTTATTCCACTTTTACCCGGTTTTGTTTGCACATTGAAATCTCCTCAAAGCCAAAGGTTATACTGATAAAATGGTGTCTGAAAATGAAAAATATGCCAATATTATATTGTTTTAGTTATATTTTAAGAACCATTTTGAAATTTCTTGGCTCAAGCTATCCGGCAATATTTTTGTTTTTGTGGTGCTTCTCAATCAGTTATGAAAGTTCAACAAAAATAACTGATCAACTGTTTCTCATTAAACCGTTCTATATGTTTTGTTTTGGATGATTGTGACAAGCAGCTGGTTCAGAAAGTATCATCAGTTTTTTTTGTTGTTTTTTTGTTTCTTGTTGACGTGAGCTCAAAGATGGGACTTTTCATGACAACCTAATTTTTGTTGCTGTTTCAACTCACCTATAACCAGAGACCTACTAGTCTAATATCACAGATTCAGAAATAACAGCTCAGGCTTTTATCCTCAATAGGTCCTGAGATCTTATTGCTCTAACAGCCTCAAATTTCAAAGAGCAGAAAAAAATCATCATTAGTGGGCCGGTTTGTTAAAGCGAATGTATCTGACAAAGTGTTTTGATGTATCAGTCTGAAGTTTCACGGATTCCTTTGTAAATATTCATAGTTTATGATTTTAAAAAAAAGTATCAAGCAAATCACAGATGGTGGAGCAGGAGGCCACTGATGATTTAAGATAGAATTACCCAATAGACAAACTGGAACCTGGTTATAGTTGACATTTTTCCTTGCTGGTTAACTTTGACTTAATTGTCCAGCCACCTCAGCGCCACACTGTCCTTGTCTGGTCAGCGTCTGCTCCCCAGCTGCGATACTTTCTGTTCATAACATACTAAACATAGAGTCAGCCGGAGGGGTCCCCGCCTGCATTCCTGCTGTAGGACAGAGACGGCATGTTTTTATGATTGCTGCATGTACCAGTACGATCTGTCTCTCCCTCAGGCCCAGAACTCGTCACGAAACTCGATAGCAGCCAGTCCGGAGTCGTCCAACCTGCTGCAGGTTTCTCAGTGGTCGCAGTCAGCGCAGCCTGTCAGCTCGCCACATCCGCTCACATCCCTACCTGGGCCAAATGACAGGTACCCCACTGATTCATGTTGTGTTTGCTATGACCATGCCTGTACAGAAAGCATTCAGTGTGCAGCATGTGTCGCTGTGTGGGGGGGAAACAACACTATACTCAAACTCATTTTAACAAAATTATTGATTTGCATTGATTTGAGAATTGATGGGGACTTCAGACAGGATATTTCAATCAGAAAATATAGTTCTGTGTCAGCAGTCTTTTCCTGGAGGTTGTCTGATATCACTCCTGTAAACTGGGCAAAGGCTAAACTCCTCACTTGCTAAACATTTGCAGGTGTGCGACCCAAAGAGTGAAAGAAGGAGCTCTAGCATCAGATTTACTACGTTGAAACCAGATGATTTTGTCTACATCACGCTTTTCTACGTGTGGAGTTCATGTAATCATAGGAAAATTCTGATTTTTAATTAGGTTTCATTTATTGAACCATAGTGGTGTGTAGTTTTTCTTCACTGGCGCAGCTGGTATCTCTCCACCTGCACTCCTTATTTATCATCAATCTACTTTTGCTCCTAAAAGATTAGACCAGAATACCCAATGAATGATTGTATGCAGAGTTCATAGAACACACACAGTGCATATGGCCACATGGATCACTATGTGCAAGAATAAACAATAACTACTGAACATGTGAATAAAGGTTGAAGCTCTACTTGTCCACCTGCCTCCTCATCTCTTTCCTCATTTTGTTTCTTGAAATAATTGGCTTCAATATTCGAGAACACAACAGCTAAATGGATTGTTTCTTGCATCAGGTTTGGAGAGATTCACTGAGCCAGTGAAAAAGCAAAAGTACGACTTTTCACCGCTGCGCTATAGGCCGAAGCTGCCATACAGTTTAATGATTATCACACACAATGCAGCTACATGAAATTTTAACTTGCTCATTCTAAAAAAATGGTCAATTAGTCGTGATATGAAGCCCTGTTAATTGCCTAAGTGTTAACCCTGTTAAAGTTAAAATTCAGTGAAATCACCTCAGCGACAACAACCTGAAGTCTGTTTGCGTACTATCTTTATCTTTGGACATCTGTAGCCTGGAAAGTTTCCTCTGTCTTCTTTTCCAGACCTATTAAACTTAGTTTGAATAGGGATCATGGGTGTTTTTGAGTTTTCAAGATACGTAAAAGACCTTAATTTGCCAAGTTATTCCTGTAGAAGCAGGTTTTGGAGAAGAAGCTCTAAAAATCCACTGTACACATTGTACCCTAACCCTAACCCTCTGCTTGGCAACAAATGGCAGCTAGCTGGTTAACTTAATGAAGTATTTAGCAGTTAAAGATAGATGTTTTCCTGAGGAGGTATAGAGCCTAAAAGTAGAGGTATTAAAATCATCAGTTTGACACATATGACTCTTAATAAATGCTTGTTGTTGTTGTGTGTCTGCTGCCTGAGTAAATATTCAAATGTTTTGCAATCTGACATGTTTGTCCCAGTTTTTTCACTGCACCAGGGATGGTTTATGTGTGTTTTTTTTATTATTATTATTATTATTTGTATGAGTAGTCTGTGTTTTCTGGCTCAGTGTAGAAAATGCATCCATTCAGTGTTTGTAAAAAATGAGAAGAGCCACAGGGTTGAATACTTGACCTCTCTCTTTGCTGTGGCAACAGATGTATGCTGTGTGTAATAAATGCATGCTGTAGTCATGAGAATTTGTAAGCTTTATCAGGACAGTGAGTTTTCCCCCTGGGACCCCCTGTGGGTGGTCAAATGGTGAACGCATTGTGCACATGAAGGAGGTCTACATGTGACTGAATGGTCTGTATGTATGTTTCAGTGATGCTGCCCCGCGGCTGCTGCAGGAGAACCAGAAGTACCTCAGTCAGCTGACCAGCCTGATGCAGGAGGCTGCAGACGACCAGGCCAAAAGCATAGTGGTGAGTTTACTTGTCTAATTCGTGCGGTTCTGGATCTTTAATGCAATGTTTGTAACTGTAGAGTGTGACCTTTTAAATTAGCCATAATTTAAATTTGTGTGGTCAGTTCCTCCTCTTTGAGAAAATTGTCAGTGTAGCTCTAATACCAACAGGTTATGAAAAGTGCTTCATATTAATAGTATGTTTTAACAAAGAAACGACCACTGGCATTAAAGGAAAGCTTTGGTCATAGAATAAAAGGGTTTAAATATAGAGAGAAAATTATGATTAAGTTGTCATATCATCGTTTGCTAATTTAGTCAAATCTTTCATAAAATGTCTTATATCACTTTTTAATATCATTTTTAATTTAAAAGAAACTAAAGTGCAGCAAAGAAAAAGGAAAAAAGCCCAAGGCCACACCCAGAGCTAAGGCTGCCCAGACACAAACACTGAAACGAATTTTTAGCGAAACACACAAAGCATAAAAATACTGGGGGTGTAACAGTGCACTAAATGTAAAGGTAAGTTCAGCAGAGAAAACTACATAAATGCACAAAATTGACAATTCTGTTAATTTATTTTTGGGAGACAAAGTGTCTAATTCACCATAGCTCAGACAGTTAAGGCACCTAAATGCTATTAAATACAGCCAAAAAGTAAAGTCTGAACTATTGACTGTCGGCTGTAGAATCAGTGACATTTTTTAAAAAATGCGTATTAAGAAGAGTGCAACACATTTATAAGTAAATGAATCATGTAAGTCCAGCAGTGCAATTAAAGCTTCAGAGCTACAGAAAGTCACTCTGACTTCCTTTATTTTCGTCAACACCAAGCACAAGGCTGTCTTGTTTGAATAAACTTTAGACGTTGCGGGTTCTGATTGAAGAAAAGTTGGTTCATATGTGGCGTGTGTGTATGTTAATAGCAATCACACAAAGATAATCTGCCAGCGTGCTGGAGGTGAAACATTCTGGAACCGTCTTGTTCCAGGACACAAGTGCATTGACATAAAATACAGGAAATACTGAACATAAGTCTCAACCCACATATCAAATACTGAATGTTTTGGGATAAATATGCAACAGGTACACCCTTAACACGTACAAAATGTGGCCAAGTCAGTGCTCTTACCAGTAGTGACACTAAAGAGGGAGAAGTGTTTTCAGTGCAAACTGTTTTCTATTTGTTTTTTGGATAATTGTGTCTTACCTTTCCAACATTTTGTACACATGAACAGGAGTGTTAATCTGATGCCAGAGATGACACAGTAAACTCTACAGTGTGTATAACAGCAAAGTCCATTAGTTTGGGTGACAGGATTTATCAAAATTATAGTGAATAAATGAAGTGTGTTATCATACAATCCACTTAAGAGAACATGTTTTAAAGACAGTCTATGAAAAAAAATCTCCTGTAAGATGGTGGAAAAAAAAACATCCATAAAAAGAGGAAAAACTACAACCTGGTTGGTTTTTAAAAAAAAAACCAATATGAGTATTTTTGCACACATTTGTGATATTTATCTGGTTGGTCTTTTATTAAACACTTTGGTTTTCCCTTTTTAAGGACCAAGACTGGAGCTGGACGAAATACGAAACTTTAACGACAAAATTAAAAAAGCGAAACGCGTAAGCACCGTCGCATCCTCCACCACACCCGCCTGTTCTCCGAGTAACACTAAGGACTGTAAGCTGTTCACGCAGCGGAGTGGCTTCAAACATTGTACAGTTGTACATGGACTCGGGACATTGTCTTTAAAACAACACAACTTTCCTGATCATCTTTAAAAAATAAATAAATAAATAAAAAATGTAAAAAGAGACGGCATCCACACATGCTCAGTGGTGTCGGTCTGCTCCCATCGTCTCACATGGTGGAAAGTTTGATTAACCTTGTTTTTATATGAGAAAACAACAAAGCTCTGTCTCTCTTCTCGTTTTCCTTATGCTGCACAATACTCATCGTAGTTCATTCAAGCTGATGATTTTTACTGTCGTTGCAAAACTGTAGCACCAACCAGATTTGAGGGGTTGTTTTTGAGGCGGATCGATCACATCGACAGAAACACATGAACGAGTTCGACCCTGTGACGCGCAGGGAAACAGGAAGTGGTCGGGGCAGGGTGGTCGAGGAGGAAATTACAATCAAGCAAGCAGCACTTTGATACTCCCACATATCCTCTCTGTGAAGAGTAGCGGAAACGTTCCAGGCTGCCAAAACTGTCGCAGAATTTACAGTCAGAGCGGGACAGAAGCTGTTCCCGTCACTCATAATCACTCTGATATATTTTACTATCAACACGTGGGGGGTTAAATGCTATCTAAGTATGTTTTGTTTTGTTTTTTTTCTTCAAAATAATATATCATAGGCAGAAGTGTTTTTGTCTTGTTATAAGCGACGGATGTGGCTGGCCATCATGTTTATACGATGTCTATACTGTACATGTGTCTTTTTAAATGTCATGGAGATGCAGTGGCTCTCGTTGTCTCATTCATGTGCACATAGTCGTTCAGTGGATGGTTCGTTCATGTCATGTAGAGTTGAAACGATTAGTCCATGGTGGAGTTTAGAAAGGAAAAAAAGGTACAGTCGAGAATATCTGAAAAAGAAAAATAGTGTGGATTTCTGTTCTTAATTGCATCAAAATAAACAATAAATCTGCAGGCGGAAGAAGAAGATAGAAGAAGTTGCACCTAGATGACTATAAAAAAAGTTTCAGTCTAAACTCAAATAATGAAAAACATTACAAAAATGTAAAGCTACGTCCACACTAATACATTTAAACTTTACAACTCTTGACGTCTGCTGTGTTAACAGTCGGCGTCCACATTACTCCAGCTTTCCAACAACCCTAAAATGAAGCCGTTTGAAAAATCTGCTGCCGTCTCTGCTTCAGTTTGAAGACTTGCATTTTTGTCTGGCTGGGTGGAGACTGCTTTCTGACTGGATCTATGCTTCTTGGACGCTTTTATCATGTGGCAGTGTTGCAGAGGAAACATCCAGACAAAAATGCAAACCCCAAAGTTTTCAAACTAAAACAGAGACAGCAGCAGCTTTTTTCAAACGCCTCCATTTTAGACGTGTTCAGGAGTTGAAGTAATGGGGACGTGAACTGTTAGCACATTCAGCGGAGTTGACAAGTCTTTGCTGACTTTGTCTCTGCTCGAAGCTGTTTGTCCAGTTAAGGAAATCTCTGGTGCTACCTTTTTACCGTTGCTGTTCTTCCTTTGTAGTATTTTCATTAGTATGCACAGAGCATATTCCTGAAACGGTGCTAAAACGCTGGTCTGGATGGAGATCGCTTTTGTGAAAACATGTTAATGTGGATGTAGCCCAGATTTCAGGAGTAATTCTGATTTCACATTTTTGTTGATAAACCAGCTTATTCAGCAGCTTTTAAAACAATTTGGCAATGGTTTGCCATTTTCCCAGTATCTCTCCTCAGAGGTTTTTAATGTGCAAACTGGAATTGAACATTAAACACACTTCATCAGCAAAAATATATCAGCAAGTAATTTTTGAAAATATTCTATTAAACATTCTTTATTTCTGTCCTCTTCAGTGTGAGAATTTGCTTTTTTTCTTGGTGACATATTCAGGTTGATAGTTTTATCCACAGACCTTATAAAAGAGATGGACGTAGCCTCAAACATGCATTCTCTCTAGCAGTCAGCAGGGGGCGACTCCTTTTGGTAGCAAAAGGAGGCCAGATTGTATGAAAGTCTGAGAAAATGACCCGACCTCTGCCTTGATTTATTACCCCATTAAACATTAACCTAATGAGTTTATGATCTCTATTTTAATAGAGACTCATGTTTATTTGGTAGATTATGGTTTTATTAAGAGTAAAAAAAACAGGGCGTGTATTTACATATCAGGGTGTGTAGTGTCCTGGAAGTCGCCGTCAGAGCCACCCTTCGTTTGTCACATCCGGATTAAAAAGACAAAGATGGCGATGGCTAAACCAGTGATGTTATTGTGGCTGCGTCCATCTTGTATACACAGTCTGTGGTTTTATCTTATTGGGTTGTGTGTAAAACCCAAACATATACCGCCATCATAACATGACACTGAAAAGCAGCAAATCCTCACATTTTAGAAGCTGAAAGATGACAACATTTGGCCTTTTCACTTCACAACACTGTCGAAACAATGGATCGATTCTGTCCAACGGCCGTTTAATTATTGGAGTAATCGTTTCAGCTCTTATCACAAACACGAGCCGCCACCATCCATCCCAAAGCAACATTACACATCCAAGTGTGACGGTCCGGTTTCCTCGACCGCTGACATGAATCTGAACGATTGGATCTGAGAGCTGAGATGCTCACAGGAAACGGCGGCCGGTAAACGGGTGAATGTACTGCAGGTGGTCGGTCACGCGGTGACTTTGGGCAGAGAGACACGAACCTTCTTAGTTGTATTTATGAAGTTAAAGTGCAATGCCAGAAAATATTTTTTGTATTTAAGTAACTCGATCAGTCAGTTTTCTTTGCATTGGAGTATTGTTTCCATCTGATGGTTTTGTCTCTGAATGTTTAAGTTTTAGAAATTTCATTGTATGAAGATCAAATGTTTACCTGGTAATAAAATAAATGACTTTGGCACGATTCCTGTGTTGTTCTTCCTGATTTCGGTTCAGATATGTGAGTCTGCCTCATCATGTTTGACAGTGTGAACGACTCAATTACAGAAAAATGATACTGACACAACAGTCTGTATTGGCCAATGCTGGCTTTAAAACAAAACGTTGATATCAATCCAAAAGCAACACTGACGAGCAGATAACGCCTGTCAGGCTTAGAATTTATTTTGTTTAAAAAGGTTACATAAAAGTAAATGCATGTTTACATGAAGTCGTTTTTCCCACAGTGATTGTGTACATTTGGCAACCGCCATCATGATAAGAGAAGACATAACAGTGTGTTAACTTCACTACAGGAGAGACCTGATGTTCTTTGCAATTGGGTGGAAAAAAAACATTTCTGTTATCGACCAGAATGAGTTGGAAAATATCAACCCTTTCACCATTTCTGTTTCCATGGGTGTGTGGGATCCAACAGCTTCGACCAC